AAGGTTCCCAAGTGTAGGAGCTTCTGTCCCTGTGGAGTTGGGCTACACCATCCTCCTGGCACGTGGATGCATTCACCAACCCGGAAGCTCTCCAAACCCTATTATTTAGAGTTTTTATGGAGATTCTATTAAGTTGGCATGATTAATTAAATCTTGGCCATTGGTGATTAACTCAATCTCCAAGCCCCTCGCTTCTCCCTGAAGACTGGGGTGGAGCTGAAAGTTCCAACCTTCTCATCACATGGTTGGTTCCTTCAGGGGACCAGCCTCCATCCTGAAGCTGTCTAGGGGCCCACCGAGAGTCACCTCAGTGGCATAAACTCAGGTCCAGTTAAAAGGAACTTGTGATAAATAACAAAAGATGGTCCTCTCACCACTATTACTCAGGAAATTGTAAGGGTTTTAGGAGCTCTGTCCCAGGAACTGGGGACGAAGACCAAATATATATTTCTTCTTATATCACAGTGTCACAGGGGGAGATCCGTTTCATTCTTGACCCTTTTCTGATAAGAAGCCAGGGTGAGGCACACAACTGGCAGGGGGGAAACTGTATAATTGAAATCTAATCTCTACTTTTTAAAGTCTTAATCATGATTGACTAAAAGCATTTTCAAAAAAAGGATTAAAAATAATGCTTAAAAATTTGAGTATTTGATAGCACAATGTCAATGAAACAGATTTTTACAATTAAAAGCAGTAATTAGGAAGCAGACAACATCACTTATATGGTATTCTTGCCTAACCTCATTCCAATCGAGGGACATTCTACAGTAACTGATCAGGACTCTTGTCAAGATCATGAAAGACCAGGAAAAATTGACGAACTGTTATAGACTGGAGGAGGCTAAGGAGAAATAACTAAGTGCAACATGGGATCCTGGATAGGAACCTGCAGCTGGAAAAGGACATTAAGACCAAATATATATTTCTTATTATATCATAGTATCAGAGGGAGATTTAGGGAAAGGAGTGGAGGGCAGCTGTTCCAGAATCACAGGGTGTGATGAGCTAGGACTAACTTGGCTGCCTATAACAGAAAGCCCAAAATAACAGTGGCTTAAACTTATGGGGGTTTATTTTCCTCTTACATTAAAAACACAAAATCCAGAAGGCAGTCCAGGGTTGACACAGTGGTCCCATAAACCTTCCAGACCAGCCTTCTCCCATCTTTCTGCTCCGCCACCCTTAGCAGGAAACATCATTCTCAAGGTCACTTCATGATCTAAGATGGCTGCTGGAGCTCTGACCATCATGTCCCCATTCCAGTTAAGAGAAAGGAGGAAGTGGGGGAGGGGTTGTAAAAAGGGGTCTTTCAGAAGCCTTACCCAACACCTACATGGGAGGATGAGAGATGTGACTTATCAACTAGATCCATTGCCCAGTGTCCTATTAGTAAAGAAGAAGAGGGATGGGTGTTGGGTCGATGCCTAGAAGTCTCTGCCGTATATGACTTACTATAAGATTGGCCTGGAAGACCCGGACTGGTCCCGGGTGGCGAAAGGGCTGGGGTGGCAGGTTTCACGTCACTCACCCCCAGGCCTGGTGGCTCTGCAAGGCTGGCGGCCTCATCCCACAGGCATTTTCGCGGCATTGCTGCACTTGTACAGAACAGCATGTCTTTTTTTCACCATTGGCCTATTTATTCCAAGAACCAAATCCACTCTGCCTGCGTGGAGTTCTGCCCGTGGTTTCCTTCCCCTCAGTATCTTCCTCTCGCCTCCTAACCTGCACAGGCCACATCCCTTCCCAGCCTGCAGCTCTCTGCTCCCAGAATCCGCTGTCGGGGTTCTGAGTGTTCCTTGTTACGCCCTCCCCCACCTTTATTTATTCACAATGAAGGCTGTGCTTCCCTTCCTGCCCAGGGCCCCAGTCCCCAATTCCCCCAGACTCTCTGGAATCCTGGACCCCAGAGCTGGGGGACAGGAAAGTGCCACTCAAGGGACCCCTAGAAAGGAGGAAAGTATAAGAGAAACCCATCTGCTGGAGTGTTTGTGTCAGGGTATGATGTAGAGCAGACTCTCCAGCTATCACACGGGAGCTGACGTTAACCGTGGATCCTGGAGAGGAACGCAGGGTCGTCTCGTGCTGGATTGTGATACAGTTAAGGCTGGGCTTCTTCCCCCACTTCATGTGAGCACTGCTGACTCCAGGGAATCGTGATGCTTGCCTTCGAAGGAGAAGACTGACAGGCAACTGGGTCAAGGTGTTGCTGCCTGCCTCACATGAGCCCACGTACCATGCCACGTCCTCAGCACGGATGTGTCCGTAAGAGCATCATCAACTCAGTACCAGCTCTTGCTTGGTGACACAAGCAGTGATTGTCATGCATCCTCTGTCTTTATAGTCAGCTGTCCTATGCAGAATGGCCATTTTGAGTCACAACTTAGAAACGGCCGGAAGCTTAGATGGGTAAACGAGGCCGGGATTGTGAAGGGGCTTGCGTGCCTGGGCAAGGCGTTTGAACTTCACTGTGACTACCCGCTGCCTGCTCCCGCCCGCCAGTACCCACCTTTGCCCAGATGAGGTGGCTCTTTCTACTTACTACTTGCTAGGACCTGACACAGGAACAACCTACGCAAGTTTTATGTTCGGCCCTTGGGCCAGCCTTGGTCTGAGAAAGCCTGTCCCAGAAAGTTGTTCCCATCTGCTGAGGTGCCCAGGGAAGTGGGGGTGGTGATGAGATCCAAGGAGAGAGGTGCCCATCACTCTGAGGCTCCCTATACGGGTTCCCTGTGGAGGGAGGAAGGGAGGGTGGATGAAGGCTGGTCCTGAGACTGATACCACACACCCCCCTTAGCAGTGGCGGCCTCCCGGGGTCACCAGGGAACGTAACGAAGACTGAGGCCCGCCTGGCTTACAGACACAGGGAGACATTTCCAACCTCACTCCATACACCAGCAGGTAGGGAGTTGGCCCGGCTCAAAGGAGTCAGTTTGCACACAAGTTTAGAGGATCAAAGCCCCCTCCACATTGCCCAGTCTTTTCTAATGGGTTCCCAGCCCTGGCTGCAGTCGAGCGGTCCATTATCCCCAAACCCTGTTATAAGCAGGGGGGTCCATTATCAAGTGAAGCCAAGGAGGGTGGATTTGATGGGTGTCTTTGGGGGCGGTAGGGAGTTCCACCTGGTGATCTCTGCTCCACTTGGGAACCCTTGTATCTAGGATATTCAACTCCTGAAACAGCTCCCCCCTGGGGGAGGGAGCACTGAGAGACACAGATGTCCTCCTAAAGGTCCCCCAGCAGCAAAACCAGGCAAACACAGGGTTATGTGGAGTCAACATAGCTAACATGAAGCAGCCCCCAGCTCCAACTGCACCACAGCCCCAAAATGAGACTATTCAAGGATCGTAAGATCACCAGACAGGTAGAGAAATATGATACTAAAGAACGTTCCTTGTCATGGAGACTAATGGGGAAGAGCGAGCTCCAAGGAGAAAGTGGTCAACAGTCCAAACGCTTGAGAAAAAGACAATTCGAGGAGGATGATGGTAAGGTCGAGGCGTTGGGCTTTGTGACTGGGAAGCCACGTCAAGCTTCAGGAGGGCGGTGGGCTTGGGAGCTGAAGGCCGGCTGGCGTTGAGGGGGAAACGTGATGTGGAGGGAGCGTGATCTCACCACTGCCGCCCCCAGGAGTGTGGCCAGCCGTGTGGCCTGGGCCAGTAGAGGCAGAATTGGGAGTGAAGCGATGGGTCAGCGGGGTGTGCATTACCCGCCAAAAACATTCGTAGTAAAAGAAAAGTGCAGAAGGGTCAAGAGAAGACTCTGCTGGTCTGTGTGTCTCATGGTCAGGGAGACGGGGGGATGAGCCTTCGTCTCCACTACAGAGTTTCACTGGGGGGCTAAAGGGGGCCACGAGGGGAGCTTTTCTGTCATGCATGTGAGCGGCCACCAGATGGTGTCCCAAGTCCTGGTAGTAACAGCCACTGTCAGGGACTTGCATATCAAAATAGACCTAACGTTAGCTTCTAAACATGTGACAATTACATGAAAGAAACATCAAACAAAAGGCCCCAAATCAAAGCAATTAGGTTCTAAATTAGAATAGCATAAATTGGGAATTTTCTGCTATTTACTAAACAAAAATCACGGCCCTGTGTTTACAGCGTGTCTAAGCCCAGTCTTGGTTTTGCACTTACACCCAAGGGCCTTGCCTTCCTGCTCCCAGCTCCTCCCCAGTCCCTGGTGGCCCTGCCCCCGACAGGGACCCCTGTGACGATTTCCAAGCTCTAACAAGGAGGCTGCCTGCCCCCCTGAATCCCAGCCCCTGCTTCTGTTACCCGTGTCGGGGAGGAGAGCGAACTGTTGTTCAATCTCACCGTGGTTGACCCAGCACTGAATACATACCGGGAAGGGTCTGTTTTCCAGCTACAGAACTGAGTCAAGTTGCAGGAAAAAAAGAACAACTTGGGCTCATTTCTTGTCCGCACGTTTGAAGTCAGAGGAGGTGGAGAGGTAGAAGCAGCTGGGGAGGACGGCTGGGAGGGGGACTGTGGTGCAGAGGCTCAGCCTTGGAGAGGGAGATCAGGCAACACAGCCATCCCCTGAAGGTCCCGAGAGGATGTGGGACGCTGAGGGGAAGGCGGGAGCTGCAGAAACTTGCCACCTGACTGGTGCTGAGGCTGAGCAAATAGGCCGAAGGGTGCCTGGCACACCCACTGCAGGAGGACACCTGGGACCCCGAGAGGGTAACAGTGACAGGAACCAGGAACAACTGGACAGCAGGGGACCCGGCCGCCTCGGGGGCCTTGGTTCTCCTCCCAGGGTGCTCTGCCGACAGTCTCTGAAGAGCGAAGCTTTGCCAGGCGGGTCAAGCCAAGGTGGGGCCTGGGCACCATAGACTGTTAAAGGCCCCGGAGGCCACAGGTCTGATCTACCCTTGCTCTGAGCCTCATCCAGGAGTCTCCAACCTAACTTTCCAGTGCCGAGCTGGCCGCGAGGCGCAGAGCCGTGACTGCTGAAGGAGCAGGTAAACCCATGAGCCCTTTTTTTTTTGGCCACAGGAATCTCCTACCAGCGACTGGTGAGGGCCGAGCAGGGCCTGCCCATTAGGAGTCACCGCAGCTCCACCGTGTGAGTGCCCTCCGGGAGGGAGGGACAGGACGGGGCGGGGGGGTGGCTCCCTGCCCCAGTTTCACCATTCCTACCCTGCCCCACCCTACACCAACAGTCACACCCCTGAGCAAACATCTGTGGAGTTCTCTCTACGTAAAAACAAACACAAAAGTCCTTGGTCGATTTTGAAAGAGACAGAAAGGGCATAAAAATATTTAGTAAATGTTAGTTTAGTAAGTAAATAAGACACCTGCAAGGGGCCGGGGCAGGTGGATAGTGAGTAATCACCCACACCTTTCGGGCACTTACTGGGCTCTGGGTACTTACTGAGCTCCAGGCACTGTTGTAAGCATTGCTACATCGTTCAATCCTTATGTCAACCCTAGGAGAAAGGATTTTTTAGATCAGGGAACTGAGGTACGGAGAGGTTAGTAGAAAGAGCTTAGAGCGGGAGATGGTGTCACTTTTGTTATCTATAAGTTGAGAACGAGTGTGCAGAGAAAGCGTGTGGGTGGTGAGGGCATGGGCTTGGCTGGTCTGGGCCTGCACACAGTGGAGCTCGGTGCATGTCCATGGAAGGAATGGTCCAGCACTCAGGGATGGAGAGGGGTTTGTTAAGCCATGACCCTTGGCTTGAGGAGCAGGGCACAGGCTGAAACTTCAGGCCACACTGCATGACCCATTGTAGGTGCCCTGCTCCCCGAAAATGACCACCCAGCTTCAAGCCACCTCACCTAAAATACAATCCTCTTTTGAGTAATCTTGCATCCATTCAGATGTCCTATAGGAAAAATGTTTATATAAAAATTAAGGTAAAATTTATTTTTGAAAATTAATTTCAATTTGTAAAAGGGCTTTGAAAACACCAGCTTAAAAATAACCAAAACTAGACCATAAGCTTTCGTCTTGGAACTGGGACCCTTGAGCCCCCAGCTTCTCTCCTGGCCTCGGGCCCTGCCTGGGCCGTGAGGAGGCTTGGGCCTCTGTGGGGCAGGAGGGGTGTGGCTGCCCAGTGCCCAGAGCCTGTCCTCTGTGCCCCCAGCACCGTGCTGTTGCTGAACCCAGTGGAGGTGCAGGCCGAGTTCCTCGCGGTGGCCGACAAGCTGAGCACGCCCGGGCACTCGCCCCACAGCGCCTACATCACCCTGCTCCTGCACGCCTTCCAGGCCACCTTTGGGGCCCACTGTGACCTCCCGGGTCTGCACTGTAGGCTGCAGGTATGTGCCTGGGGCCCTGGGGCTTAGCACTGCCACCTTCTGGGGGCGCTTCTCTGGAGAGGCAGGGTCCCCCCTCTGCTCCATCTCAGCGCTGCAGTCTCGGGGGTACACTGGCCTCCTTCACCCTGAGTGACGTGGCTGGCCTCACTGAGAGGGTTTCTGTTATGCTGGGTCCCGACCGAGGTGGAGGGCACCCTGGGCAGTGGGGCTGGGCACGGAGCCTCAGAGGACTGCATGGGCTGTCCTGCATGGGCTGAGTGATATAGGAACGAGCTTTAGACTGAAGCTGGAAGACCTGGCTTCCAGTCCTAGCTCTGTGGTAGGTCGGCTGGGTGGCCCTGGACAGCCCCTTGCCCTCTCTGGGCTGCAGTAATGACCCCCGAAGTCCCTCCCAACTCTGCAGTGTTCTGGCTCTGGGCTTTTCTCTCAGAACCGCTTCCTGAGAGTGTACGATGGGGGAACAGACCTGGCTCCTTGGTCAGCCGCTGTGGGTAGAGGTGGGTGATGAGGCCTGGTCACTGCTGCCCTCGGTAAGACCCTGGGAGCTCGAGAAGTCGGCGGCCAGGCAGTGGTACAGGAGCAAGCCTGTCTCCTCCTGGGGTTTCAGTCCAAGACCCTGGCAGAGCTTGAGGACATCTTCACGGGGACTGCAGAGGCCCAGGAGCTGGCCTCTGGCATCAGAGATGCAGCGGAGGCCCGGCAGTGGCTGAGGACCAAACTGCAGGCAGTGGCAGAGAAAGCCGGCTTCCCCGGTGTCTTAGGTGAGGCTCTCAAGAGGGCGGGGCCCCTTTCCCCATGGCCTGTTCCAGTTCCCCGCGTGAGCAGTCCAGGTGGTTCTGCTCCACAGTCATTCAGGGACGCAGGTTCTTCAACATCTCGTGGCTCCCCCATCCCCGAGGGTGGGGTTCCTGTCTGCAGGGTCAGGGTTGGGTTGCCATCATGTGGCGGCTTGTGAGAGGAGGAAAAGAGAGCTAATTGAGGGCAAGGGGCTTGTTATTACACGGAAGATAATGCAGAAGTTGCTCACATCACGTCTGTACGTATCCCTCTGAGCCCACCTTAGTCACATGGCCACATCTTGCACCAAGGAGCCTGGGACACACCCCCTCTACAGCTCCATTATAGAAGGGACACAGTGTTCCTCACAGTCACCTGCGGAGATAGTGCCAGTGTTTTCTCATTTGGACCCAGTAAAATGAGACGCAGACATTGTGACTTGGCCACATTCTCAGAGCTTATAAAAGGCATGGCGTCTATACGGTGGGCTTTCCTGCAAGCCAGGCATCCCGGCTTCCAACTCAGCCTCAGCCCACCCAGCTGTGTGGCCCTGGCCTGTCCTCTCCCAACTCTGGTCTCTTCTCTAGCATGAGGGCCAACCTCAAGGCCCTTCCCAGCCCTCACCTCCTGCCCGCCCTGTTCTTACAGACACTGCAAAACCTGGCAAGCTCCGCACCATCCCCATCCCTGTCGCCAGGTGCTACACCTACAGCTGGAACCAGGACAGCTTTGGTAAGCAGCGGTTGGAGCCCTCACGGTGCCCACCACCCAAGCTGCCCGGGCTCTCTTCCCAGTCCCGGGTCTGTGTGGCTGCCTCCCACCCCCGACCAGCCCTCCACCTGAGCAGACTCTAAGCGGAGCAGGGGGCAGTGCTCTGAGTCCTGGGCTGGCCTTGCCCCTCCTTCTGCCCTCTTCTCAAGTCCATTCTGTCTGAGCCTGTCACCCCTCCCAAGGGTGTGCAAGAGGGGTCTGAAGGGCCCAGACACCCAGACACTGCCTCCCCTTGCTTCCCTGCAGACATCCTGCAGGAAATCCTGCTCAAGGAACAGGAGCTGCTCCAGCCAGGAATCCTGGGGGATGATGAGGAGGAGGAAGAGGAGGAGGAGGAGGAGGACTTGGAAACGGACGGGCATTGTGCTGAGAGGGACTCAGTGCTCTCCACGAGCTCGGCAGCCTCCCAAGACTCCACCCTGTCCCTCGCCTTGTCCCAGGCCTCAGGGCCCACCCTCTCCCGCCGGTTGCTGACGTCCTTTGTCTCCGGCCTCTCGGATGGCATGGACAGTGGCTACGTAGAGGACAGCGAGGAGAGCTCCTCTGAGTGGCCCAAGAGGCCTGGCAGCCAGGAGTGCCGGGGCCACCGCAGGCCGGGGCAGAAGTTCAACAGGATCTATAAACTCTTCAAGAGTACCAGCCAGCTGGTACTACGGAGGGACTCTCGGAGCCTGGAGGGCGGCTCGCTCACAACACCGCCCCTGCGACGGGCAGGGAGCCTCTGCAGCCCCCTGGACAGCCCGGCGCTGCCCCCGACCCGGGCCCAGCGCTCCCGCTCCCTGCCCCAGCCCAAGCTCAGCACCCAGCTGCCCAGCTGGATCCTGGCCCCCGCCTCACGCCCTCAGCGCCGCCGCCCCTTCCTGAGCGGGGATGAGGACCCCAAGGCTTCCACGCTACGTGTCGTGGTCTTCGGCTCCGATCGGATTTCAGGGAAGGTGGCTCGGGCGTATAGCAACCTGCGGTGAGAGCTGTAATGGGGGTATCACTCTGCCCTGGGTAGCAGGCTGGTGGTGCTGGGGGAACCTGGGGCGTGAGGCTTAGGGTCCGAGAGGGACCAAGGAGCTTCCTTCTCACCGTCTTCTTCTTGCCAGACGGCTGGAGAACAACCACCCGCTCCTCACACGGTTCTTCAAGCTTCAGTTCTTCTATGTGCCCGTGAAGCGAAGCCAAGGGACCAGCTCCAGCACCTGCCCAGCCCCTCGGAGCCAGACGCCCCCACTCCCCACAGACTCCCCAAGGCACCCCAGCCCTGCAGTACGTCCCCAGCCCTGGACCAAACGGGGTGGGAGAGTAAAGTGGTCATGAGCGGGTTCCAGTTACCTGAAGGGGATTGGTTGGAAGTCACCAAAAGCAATCACCTGTGTTTATGGGGCACCTCTTCCAGCTTGGGCCTTACTCCCAGGAGTGGTCCCTGCCCTGCTCTTGGGGATGGCATTTTGCTGTATGACATAGACTGAAAGTTGTCAGATTTCTCCAGGGGCAGGAAGACGAGTCTCAGACTGGGGCTGCAGGTGCCATCGAGGGCCCTGGAGCTATGATGGCAGGCCTCCTGGGTGGCTGGGAATGACTCTCGCCCCTTGCCCCAGGAGCAGGGCACAGCCCCATGGGAGGAGAGCACCAATGACATCTCCCACTACCTCGGCATGCTCGACCCCTGGTATGAGCGCAACGTGCTGGGCCTCATGCACCTGCCCCCTGAAGTCCTGTGCCAGGCAAGTCAGTGGCCCCTGGGGGTGGGAGTGGGGGTGGGCCCCTGGGCTGCATCACCCAGCTTCACTCGAAGGCCCTAGTTTGGAGGATCTGTTTGAGGCCTCCATGGAGCACCAGGGCTCATTTGGAAAGGAGCAGGGAGGGTGGGTGAGAAGCAGGACTGAGCCTGAACCCAGGGCACTGAGGGCAAGGGCTGGGGTCACTACCGTGACAAGGAGGGTCCTCAGAAGGGTCCAGGGGATCTTAGGCTTCAGCCCCCTCCCTCAACTCCCAGCCTTGTACAGCTTGGCCAGAGGCCTCCCTGGAGGGCTATGTGCCGGGTGAGGGAGGGGCACGGGGGCTGGGCTGTGGGTCCTCCTCTGACCATTCTGTTTCCTGCTTCCAACTCACCATCCTTCTCCCTGGCGCTGTCTGCCTCTCCGTCTCTATTGTGTGTGTGTGTCTTTGCCTCTGTCTCTATTCCCTTTCTCACTCTCTGTCCACCTGTCCCTCTGGCTGGGCCCCCACCGCCCACCGCCACAGCAGTCTCTGAAGGCTGACTCCCGGCCCCTGGAGGGCTCCCCTGCCCAGCTGCCTATCCTGGCGGACATGCTGCTCTACTACTGCCGCTTCGCCGCCCGGCCGGTGCTGCTGCAGGTCTATCAGACAGAGGTAAGGCCGCCCGCGCCCCCCGCCTCTGCTCCCACACACACACACCGGCGGGCCTCAGTCAGCAGCGCCAGGTCCCAGCCTGCGCCCTGCTGCGCCTGCGGGGCCCACGCCACCCCTGGCAGCCGGCAGCCCTGTGCTGGAGGAGCCTGGCGGGCCCCTCCGGGAGGTCCACACTGATGCCCACGCTCCTGCCCTCTCTAGCTGACCTTCATCACCGGGGAGAAGACGACGGAGATCTTCATCCACTCCCTGGAGCTGGGCCACTCTGCTGCCACTCGCGCCATCAAGGCTTCAGGTGGGTGCTGCCTCAGCCCCGGTGGAAATGGGTGGGAGGCGGCGCTGGGGGGGGCGCGCCGGAAGGAGGGGCCCAAGGGAGAAGGGGCTAGAGGGGCCAGGAGGTGGAGCCCCCTGGAGGTGGGGCTAGAGAGAGGCGGGGCCTTGGGAGGTGGGACCCTGGGAAGGAGGGGTCATCAGGGAGGTGGGGCAGGGAGGCGGAGCCCCAGGGTCTGTGCGGGGCACCGGAAGTGAGAAGGAACAAGGGTCTGCCTGTGTGTGGTACAGGTCCTGGCAGCAAGCGGCTGGGCATCGATGGTGACCGGGAGGCCATCCCTCTAACACTACAGATTATTTACAGCAAGGTAAGGCTGATGCTGGGGCCCGTTCGCCTCCGGGATCTGCTCCTGATCCTTCCCAGTCAGAGCCAGACGCATGTGTTTCGCGCCTCTAAGCTGGAAGGCCGCAGCGGGCTCCCCAGGCCCTCCTGGAGGCTAAGAGAAGGGCGAAGGGGAGGGAGTGGACATCTCTCTGCCCCTCTGCCTCCAAAGCCCCCTCCACTGTGTTCTCCCCCGACCTGAATGTGCTCGTGTGCTCAGCAGCTCCCATGAAGTGTTAGGGCCTGGCTACAGGGCTGTGGGGGAGAGTGGGGCAAGGGAGTGAGGGAGGGACCAGGGTCTGTGGGGCTGGTGTGCCTGGCTGGGTGCGTGGGAGATGAGTTGGTGTGGGGAGAGTTGTGGGGCAGAGGCGGGAGGGGGTGCCCATGAGCACAACAGAGGGCATGAGTTTCTGAGCATGTCACACCCTCCGGGTACAGGCCACAGAAGCTTGACCCCCCAGAGAGGGAGCCCTCTTGCCTTCTGTCCTGCCTCCTTTCCTGGTTTCCTTCCTTCAGCCATTCAAAAGATATTTATCTAGGGCCGGGCTGGTGGTGCAGCGGTTAAGTGCGCGTGCTCTGCTTCCGCGGCCCGGGCTTCGCAGGTTCGGATCCCGGGTGCGCACCGACACACTGCTTGTCAGGCCATGCTGTGGTGGCTTCCCATATAGGGTGGAGGAAGATGGGCACGGATGTTAGCCCAGGGCTGATCTTCCTCAGCGAAAAGAGGAGGATTGGCATCGGATGTTGGCTCAGGGCTGATCTTCCTCACACACAAAGAAAAAAAGATTTATTTAGCACCTGCTCATGTCAGGCTTTATGCTGGGCAAGGGGAAGGGGCAGTCAGCAGGGAGGGCTAGGCCCCCCCTTAACTATCCTAGAGGAGGGAGACAGACAAGAAACCAGGAAACAAAAAATGGCTGAGATAATGTCAAAGAGTGGTGAGTGATGACAAGGCAGTAAAGGGCTGATGGGCTAGTGACAACGGGGCTACTTTATGTTTGGTGGCCAAGGAGGTGGGCAGGAGGGACTGACACTCACTGAGTCCTGTGTGCCAGGTGTTTGTGGAACACCTGCTGTGTCCCAGACATTGTTCTTGGCACAGGAGTATTCGCAAGAGGGAACAAAGTGCTTCCAGTCTGGAGGGGATGATAGACATGGATGAGATGATCATACAATGTGTATAATTACAACTGTGACAAACAGATGAAGAAGAGGTAAATGGAACTGTGAGAACCCCTAAGGGGATTATTCAACCCAGTCAGGAAAGTTAGACAAGGCTTTCTTGAGAAGAGACATTGAGTCAATTTTGGAAAGAAAACCGGGAGTTAGTTAATTAAGCTAAGAAGAGAGGTATGTGCTCTCCAGGAAGTGGGAACAGCATGTGCAAAGGCCCTGTGGTGAGAGCGAACTTGAACATCAAAGGGCACTGAAGGAAGGCCAGAGGGACTGGAGCAAAGAGAGTGAATGGGAACGTGATGATAAAGTGAGGCTAAAGAACTTGGCAGGGCCAGAATACCAAGGACCTGGACTGCAATGAGAGGAGTTTTGTCCTTGTCCTAAGAGCATGGGGTATCCTTTGAAGGGGTTTAAGTTTGGGGTGAGGCTGGGAATGAGTGCAACATGATCAGATCTGAGGTTTGGCAGTGCCCTCTGGCAGTTCTGTGGAGAACATATTGGAAGGGTTCACAGGGGGTGTGGGAAGGCCAGTTAGGAGGCTCTGGTGGTTGTCCAGGAGAGAAATGTGGGCAGTCTGCACTGGGGGGTGCTGGTGCTGGTGCTGGGAATGGAGAAATGAGGGTTACATGTGGATTATGTGAGCGGCAGGGCTCAGTGATGGATTGGAAGAGGAGAGGCCCAAACTCCTGGATTTTGCAGCTGGTAGTACCATTTTCTCAGAAGAAGCCCAGGTCCAGTGGGGGAAGATCAAGAGTTTGGTTTGGGATGTGTTGAGTTTGCGGTGCCCTTGAGAGGTAGAAGGAGAAAGTCAGAATAGGCAGTTGGATGGATGGGCCTGAACTCAGAGGTGAAATGTGAAGATGGGTGCCTAGGTGGTCGTGGAAAATGGGCACGGGGGAGGGTCCCTAATGGAGAAAGACCTGGGAGAAGGTCCTGAGACCTGCGTCATGTTATGGCGGACGGAGGAGGGTGATGGCACAGAGCAGGGAGGCCAGGGAGGCGGTGGAGAAACCGGGAGCATGCGGTCACGGGAGCGCAGGAGGGGAGAGTGGTGAGCAGAATCAGGCTCCTATGAGGCCAAGTAGGCTGAGCACTGAGTAACGCTCTTGGGTTTGCCAACATGGAGACATTCAGACAAGGATCCAAAGAAGGAGCTCCAGCCTGGCTCTGCCGGGAGCTCCAGGCCCGTGGGCCGGTCTCTTCCTGGCTCTGGGCTTAGAAGGAGATCATCAAGGCCACCCCTTGAGGTGCTGTCAGCTCTTGTGCTCAAGGACCAAGCCAGTAACCTGATGCTCCTCCCGGGAGTCTCCAAGGTCTCTGCAGGGGTCAAGGGACTCTTGGAGAAGAAGCCAGCAGACTCGGGAGAATGAGAGGGAGCTTGCTGGGGTGTGCTGACTGCAGGCAGCTCCCTGTCGCTGGCGGGTCTGGAGCCTCCTCTTTGAAGAGAAGGCGGCAGGCGCCGGGGGCCTGCGGGCTGAGAAGCTCTGGCTTTGCTGCATTTCCAGGGGGCCATCAGTGGACGAAGTCGCTGGAGCAACATGGAGAAGGTCTGCACCTCCGTCAACCTCCACAAGGCCTGCCGGAAGCAGGAGGAGCTAGGTGAGCGGAGGGCAGGGCGCAGGGGTGGTGGCGGGGCGGGGTTCTGAGCCTGGCCTGAGCCGCCCCTGCCCTTCAGACTCCAGCACGGAGGCCCTGACGCTAAACCTGACAGAAGTGGTGAAAAGGCAGAACTCCAAATCCAAGAAGGGCTTTAATCAGGTAAGGGCTTCCCTCTCCTCCGCCGCACCTCGGGAGACTTACTGCGCATGCGTGTGCACGTGTGCATGTGTGTTTGTGAGAGAGAGGAGGCGTGTCTGAGGGCCTCGATGGGGCTTGTGGGTGGGAGAGGAGAGGCAAGGGGAGGGGTGTGGTTTGGGGGGGTGCACATGTGTGGAGTGCGGTGGTGTGTCAGGAGGAATGGGTGCCCTTGTGAGAGGATATGTTTGTGTGGAAAGGGTCTGTGGTGGATGCCAGTAGGGGCCTGGGTCCAAGGCAGAGGGAACCCTGGGGCTCTCGTGGTGAGGGCAGTGGGCAGTGCACTTTCTCCTCAGGGAGACTTGCTTCTTCCAGACAGGAAAGGGCAGAGGCTGGAGGAGGCAGGGCCTGGTGGAGCCCTGGGGACCCTCCCCTGAGCTGGCCGTTAGCCCTGGAGAGCTGCCAGCCAAACTCCCATCCCCTCTCCCCTGAGACCTGGTCTGGCAGGTCCAAGGGAAGGAACTGCCAAGGGCTGGCAGCTCTGTGGCCGGGGCTCTGGGGACTGACCTGGGCCTTCCTTCCAGATTAGCACATCGCAGATCAAAGTGGACAAGGTGCAGATTATTGGCTCCAACAGCTGCCCCTTTGCCGTCTGTCTGGACCAGGATGAGAGGAAGATCCTGCAGAGTGTGGTCAGGTAGGAAAGGGGCCCCCAGCTCCGCTTCAGCAAAATGGGGTCCCAGGGGAGGGGTCAGTTTCCACCCCCACCCCCACCCGGAGGCCTGGAAGGAGCTGGAGGGATGGGAGGCCTGCCCTTACTCCTGCCCTGCCCCACAGGTGTGAGGTCTCACCCTGCTACAAGCCGGAGAAGAGCAGCCTCTGCTCCCCAACCCAGAGGCCCCCCTACCCGCCGGCCCAGGCCGCGCCCGACATCTGCTCCCTCCTCTGCCTGCCCATCATGACCTTCAGCGGAGCCCTGCCCTAGCGCAGCCTGGCACCGGCCTGGACAGGAAGCCCCGGGGCAGCCTCCTTTGAGCCCCCCTTCCCGGAGAGGACAGTCGCTGTGAGGGCCTTGCTCCCCATGGAGAACTGAGTGGCCCTCTGCTGGGTCAGGGTCCTGCTCTGGGCCCTGCGATGGGCAAGGGGCAGGGGGGTGATGGTTTCTGGGGCCTCAGGGCTCTGGGAAATAAACAGGCATTAGGGGGAGAGGGGCCTGGCTACACAGCCCCTCAGCTTCCTCACGGTAGAAAGGAGAGGGATGGGGGGCTCACCTCTGAAGGCCCTGGCTACTAGTGTGCTCTAGGATCTTTTCTAGAAGAAAGGTCTGAGGCTCTGGTGCTCTAGGGTGTGGTTTAGGCCTCCTCTCCCAACCCTTGGCCGGGCCCACCCCTTACTTGGTCAAAGACTTGTGTCTGGAGTTCAGTCCCCCTACTCTGGGGTTCAGGTGGTGGAAACATGGATGAGACTCTTTTTTCCTGACCTCAGTACCATCCTCCCCACCTCTCTCTCTCTCTCTCTCACATACACACACGCACAGACACTCTTTCTCTCCCTCAAGTCCCCTGGGTCTTTTTGAAAACAGCACTAACACTTTACCTGTCTACTGTCAGGACCCGGAACAGATTCTCTCTGGAGCCCACTTCTGGCTCGAGACTGTGGGAGACAGGACAGGCTTGGATTCACTAGCGCCTTGGTTACCTTCCAGCCCAAAGACCAGAAGGAAGTTAATTAGCTCCTTCAAGCCTCCCTTTCCTGAGCACTAAGATGAGGGGAAATAACGCCTTCTCAAAGGGTGGGAGGGAAATTATCTGCTAAGCTCCTGGTCCAGTGGCTAGCTCAGGGCAGGCGCTCAGTAAAGATTCGCGGCCCTTCCCACTAAACGCTGACTCCCCCGCCTGGTCCTGGGGTGCTCTCACAGCCTCTGGGATGCTCTTCATTCACTCCTCTCCAGTTCACTGAAGAGGCAGGACCAAGACAGAGGGGGTAAGGAGTGATCGGTTTTACCCTCCAGAGGAGGAATGGCCTTTGTCAGAGTAAGAGGAGGGTTGCCCAGGTGCCCCCAGCCTTCATCTCCTTCTGTCCCAGGTTGACCCCTGTGCCCCCACTCCCACCTCACTCCTTGGGCTGATGCACATTATGTGTGGAATCTTCCAGCCCCAAAGTCCACTGGCACCATTCTGGCACCTAGGCAAGACCCCAGAGGAGCAGCAGATGGAGTGCCTGGCCTCGCGGAGCTTAGTAACTGATTGGGGTAAATGGATGATAGCGTGAGAGCCCAAAACATAAAACTGCCAGGCTGGAGTGGTTTGAGGAGTCGGAAGCACGCGTGGGCTGGGGTGCTAGAGTGGAGGGTGGGGCGAGGGCCCGGGATTTGGACTGGGAGAGCTGGGGAAAGTAACATGGACGCAGACAATTGTATCCTGCATGGAGTCCCTCCTTCCCTTCCTTCTCCTGCTCCATCCTGCCCCAAGGGTTCTGGGCTTACAGGAGCCCATGAAAGCCCAGCCCCCAGTACTCATGACTTGAAAGAAGTGCACAGAGTCAGCTCCTTCCCTGTATCACCGTTCCTCCCCTGTCCTAGCCGTCTCTACCTACTCCAGGCTCCAGAAGGGTGGTCGGCCATAAACCTTCAATGCTTTTTGTTGTGTGAGCAGGTTGTCCTACACGATCAAAAGACGTCCAAAAATAAGCAAATGGAATTTAATATTATTGTCAAATAAAACTTGATTTGTCCTGTGTTTAATGACCTACGGTTATTTTGCTGCATGACAATTCAGTGCTAGTTGGATGGTTCACTTAAATCATTTCACATATAGCAGAAATAGGATTCTTGGGGGATAGTTTTGTTTATCTTTTTGTAATTTGCCTCTCTGTAGAAAATATATCTGTGCTGAAATGTTCCCTGGGACTTGCATTTAAGCCTCATCGTGCTGCTAAGAGGAAGGGAAGTGAGCTCATGCTGGCCCTCTGGATCTGGGGCTGTTTTTAAACTTGGCTCATAGGGAGGGAGAGAGGAGGAGGTGAAGGGATGGTGCAGGACCCCTGTGCCCTGGGAGAAGCAGGTAAGCACCAGGCTCCCAGCACAACTGCTGGGGATGGAGGAAGAAGGACCCATGAGATGCTCTAGCTCTGCACCAGCTAGCTCCTGCAAACAATAAAGCACACCTCACACTCAATGGGCCAAAACTATGATCTTTGATTCTTGTTCCTGCATCTAGAGGTCATCTAGGGATCCCTTTAGGCTCAGAGTGGCTTGACTCCAAGCTGCAGGTTGGGTTCAGGTGTGCTGTGGGTCTCTCGGGCACCTTAGGCCAGCGTGTTAGCACAAGAGGGGTAAGCAGAGACATGCGATGCCTCCTAGGGCCTGGGCCTGGAACTGGCACAGTATCTCTTTGGCCAACATTTGATTGGCCAAAATCGATGAAGCACATCAACCCGTAGATTCAATAAACTTGGCAGATCTCACACAGGATAAAAACAAAATCACATGAGAAGAGCACTTCACCTCTGATATTCTTTCCACAACCCCATAACCCCGGTCTAATGAGGAAAATATCAGACAAACCCAGATGGTGATCTGACCAGTACCCCTCTAGACGGTCAGTGTCTTGAAAACAAGGAGAGGCTGAGAAACCCACAGACCACTGAAAACCGAAGGCTGTCTGGTGCCCTGGATTGGATCCTGAGACAGGAAGAGGATAATATGGAAAAACTGGTGAAATCTCAATAAAGTCTGGAGTTTCGTTCTAAAACACACACACACGTGCACACACACCTCATTGTCTCATTGTCAAACTCCTGAGAAAAAAAGGTAATGAGAAAATCTTCAAGACAGCCAGAGGCAAAAAATAACGCTGTATCTTCGAAGGATCATCAATTAAACTGAGATCTCCCTTCTCCATTTGCCAATCTGGCAGCAGAAATGGATATTCTGAGTAGGCTAATATATATTAAAGAAATTGAAACCATTATTTTCTTAATTAGACTGGCAACCAAGCATCTTTTACTGTCTCCATAGTTAGGCATTTTCCAGAATGTCATATAGTTGGAACCATGCACTATGGACCCTTTTCAGGTTGGCTTCTTTCACTAAACAATATGCATTTAAGGTTCTGCCACGTCTTTTCGTGGTTTCATAGCTCATTTCTTTTTGTTGCTGGATAATGCTCCATTGTATTGATGTGCCCCAGTTTGTTTATCCACTCACCTAGTGAAGGACATCTCGGTTGATGCCAATTTTGGCAATTATGAATAAAGCTGCTATAAATATTCCTGTGCTGGTTTTTGTGTGGACATAGATTTTCAACTCATTTGGATAAACACCAAGGAGGACAATTGCTTGATCATATGGTACAAGTATGTTTAGTTTTTTGTTTTTTTGTTTTTTTTGTGAGGAAGATCAGCCCTGTGCTAACATCTGCCAATCTTCCTCTTTTTTTGCTGAGGAAGACTGGCCCTGGGCTAACATCGTGCCCATCTTCCTCCACTTTATATGGGACGCTGCCACAGCATGGCTTGCCAAGCCGTGCGTCGGTGCACGCCCAGGATCCGAACTGGCGAACCCCGGGCCGCCGCAGTGGAACGCGCACACTTAACCGCTTGCGCCACCGGGCAGCCCCTAGGTTTTTTTTTGTTTGTTTTTTGTTTTTTTTAATGCCAAACTGTCTTCCAAAGTGGTTGGGCCCTTTTCATTCTCAGCAGCAATGAATGAGTGTTCCTGTGGCTCCACATCCTCATTGGCGTTTGATGTTGTCAGTGTTCTGGCTTTTACCCATTCTAATGGTGGGGGTATCTCATTGTTTTAATTTGCAATTCCCTAATGAATATGATGTGGAGCATCTTTTCAGTGTTTATTTGCCATCTGTATATCTTCTTTGGTGAGGTGTCTGTTTAGATCTTTTGCCTATTTTTGTGTGTGTGTGTGAGGAAGATCGGCCCTGAGCTAACATCTGCCAATCCTCCTCTTTTTTGCTGAGGAAGATTGGCCCTGGGCTAACATCTATGCCCATCTCCCTCCATTTTATATGGGACGCCGCCACAGCACAGCTTGACAAGTGGTTCGTCGGTGCCTGCCCGGGATCCGAACCGGCGAACCCCGGGCCGCTGCAGCGGAGTGCGTGCACTTAACCGCTTGCACCACCGGGCCGGCCCCTCTTTTGCCTATTTTTTAATTGGGTTGTTTTCTTATTGTTGAGTTTTAAGATTTCATTGTATATATTGGATACCAGTCCTTTATCAGAAGCGTGTTTTGCAAATATTTTCTTCCAGTCTGTGGCTTGTCTTTTCATTCTGTTAGCAGTGCCTTTTGCAGAGCAGATGGTCTTAATTTTAATGAAGTCAGATTTATCGATTTGTTCTCCTCTGCCGGCTTGGAGCTTCCTCTGAGGTCCAGAACGTAGTGGTTTGTCACCATCCTCGGACCTCTCCCTGAGGTCCCTGACATCCAAGTCATGCCTCCTCTGGAGAATAGCTCTCCCACAACCCCTGGGGCAGGGAACACCTATAGCCCCCCAGTCTGCTCAAAGCAGAGGCAGCAGAGAGATTTCCAGCCCCTGCAGTGTCACACACACAGGGGATGTGTGCGCACGCGGCCTGTTGGGTGCCTGCCAGGGCCTTCAGACTCCCCCTCCCCCACTGTCACACCAGCACACTCTCCAGCACTGGGATGTTAGCCGCTGCCCTGGGAAGAGGGCGTCTCGGTTTTCTTGGGAGAGAAGCTGCTCCCTCCTTTACCAAGTCTCTGAATCCCTCTATTTCCTCCCCCAAACCTACCAGTAAAATCAGGGTAAAGGAAGCCAGCTCTCCTGGGAAAGAGGGATGGGTGCCCTGCGCATCTCTCTGGGGGCAAAGACAGGCAGGTGGCAGGCTGTCCCCACCTGTACCACCTTATTTCTCTCTTCCATGTGGCAGGCACACCTATGTCCAGGCTCAAACCACAGCCCCAGGTGTCTTCGTCTGCTCAGGCTGAGTGGCTTAAACAACAGA